CAAATATAGTTTGTCTTGAAAAACTAAGTATATTTATAAGGCACATCAAGAGGCACAAGAAGATTATCGTATATATGAATGTAAGGCATATGAGAAAGTTGGTTGATATTGAATGAAATTATATTGTCTTGAGTTTTATACTCGTTTATCCTTCCGTTTACGCTTCTGTCTGCATCATCGAGTATAGGAGTCGTCCTAAAGATCCAACTCCACAACTTCCACGAGTTTCTTAGTCGATGTGATTCGACTAAGTATAATTCTCCTATTCTGTATAGAGTCGAGATAGTTGCTTATGGGACTGTCTTGACTTGTGTAGGTGTCTGAAGAGCAGTGTCTCAATCACCTACGACTTTCTGGTTAATTTGCTTTATCATCCAACACCAGGTGGGTATTAATTATAAATTGCTATGCTTTAATTAATTGCTTTTATTGTGGTATGATCAAAGTGTGAGTGTGAACCATGTAGCCTTCGATGTGAGCTATGTAGGCCGTCGAACAGTTATCCCCGTAGCTATAGAACGTACCTTCGGGTAGTCTCCTCTATTTATGTATTGTAGTCAGGGCATGAGCCTTGCTGTGATCCTCGTATGTAAGGCCAAGGTGTAAGTCTTGTCATTCGGGGTGGATTTACTCCTACTGGTTGGGCATCGATGCAAGGCCCGTGGGGCATTCGATACGTGTATCAGTTCAGTAGTCTATTGATATAGGTGTGCACATGAGGGTTGACTCTGGATAGGAGATGTGATATTAATTGATTTTTGTTCATACTGCGACCATACCTACTTTGTTTTAAGAATTGGATATTAATTATTGTATAGCGATGAGCACCTCGATTTTCCTATTGTGCTCACTCCCACATGCTCTTCATGGATGCAGGTTAGCATTTGCGGGCACGACAAGAGAAGGCGAGTGGTGGTCATATTACTGTTTTTAATTCCGCTGCTTTGAACTGCTTAGTATTATTTATGAATTTCTAATTTATATTGTGTTCTGGATTGTTGAGAGGGAGTGATCTCCGTAGTAATTTTTGAATTTTATGTAACCCAGTTTTGGGAGATTGATGTTTGATGAACCCGATTTGGGTGTGATTCTGATTATTGAACCCGTTTTGGGAGTTGCATTTATGATGTTGTTGGAAAATGGTTTTTCAATTAGTAGCGCCGCCAAGTATTTTGAAATAAAATTTGAAAAATTTATTCTAAATTTCGTCAAATGAAAGTGGGGCGTTACACCTGAGCTGACCCCAACGTCATATGGGCTGAGCCGGTAGGCAGGAATACCATTTCTGAGCTTTCGGCCCCAGAGTTAGGGAAAACATGCGACATCTGAGAGCGTCTGTGGCCCCATACAGGTCCATCCAGGAGATGCAGTGGCCAAGGTGAGCATCGGGGTCCGACGTACCGTCATAGAGGTTGATTTGTGGGACTTTGATTTTTCCAGGTAGCGGCTCTAAAGTCAACTCGGGTGCCAGTGGTGAGTCCACTTCCAAATAAACATGGCCGGTTTCCTGAGTGCGCGGGTTGGGCGGCGATCTCGCCCTCGTTGCTTGTATGGTCTCGAGTTCAGCAACCTCTTTCTTAGGGCTTCCATTTCGTGGTTGTCTCGCCTGGCCGACCAACCTTTCTTTATCTGGTGTCGGAGGTCGGCTGAGTTCCCCGTCTGCAGAAATATAGGTCTAGCGATAACGGTTTCTCTCCCAACGTGTCCAGATTGGCTTACTGCCGTCATCTTTTGGAGGTTGTTTTCCTGGAGGTTCGCCGTCTGGACAGGTGGTCGGCGAGGGTTGTCCTCTCGTGGCTGGGACGTTACATGGGATCAGGTGTGGTTATTCACGCCCCCTTGCAACGGTGGCACCCCTGGTCTAGCGGGGGTGATGTGTGCGAGAGATTGTCCCGGAGCGACTCGGGAAGTTCCGGGCATGGCTTGTGCCAATAAAGCAAAGAATCCCTTAGCGAATTCTGGATTTTGCATGAGTGTTGCCAGGTCCGGTATTGGCGCGGTGTTAGTTCTACCGGCGGATGGGGCTTGGTCGTGGCTGGCCCCGCCCCTTGATGTCTGGTCATCTTGTCCTGACTGTGCCATTGCTATAGATTCGAGTTTGAACGATGATTTTTATTCTACCTTGTCAAAGAGTGTTGGATTCAAAGATTGACCTCAAAGTATCTTATGAGGCCCCTCCTTCTAGCGCCAAACTGTTGATAAACGGATTTGATAAACTATTTATACCTTAATTGAGGCATGTTAAAGCGTAAAAAGTGTGATTTTATCGAGGAAATGGGATGTTGTTACAAGATACCGCAAGTCGGTTTTTTTGTTTTACGTCAGTTTTTCTTATACAGAAAATCGGTTTTCGGTGAGAACCGAGGTGTTAACTGCAGAATTAATGTGTCGGGGAAAGGCTCCTCGTATTGAATTAAATTCAGCTATTTATAGCAACTTTCGGCTCGTCTTTTGAGGAGATTCGGCGGCATTAAATGTGTTGTGACAACATAGGTCAGCTTTTCCCAGTGAGTGGGCCCTCCACCAATGATACTTTCACGTGGGTCAAGACGTTTGATGGACGTGCATTTAATGCGGCTTGCGGCGGATGACGTCGGCTTTCTGGGGCTATGACTTGATTGACATCGGTCCATTTGTTGAGGTCGGCTTGCCCGTTTAGCCGAGGTGCTCCCCTTTATTTATGTTTCCCCGCTTTCTTCTCCAAGCAATACACGTGTCGCTGATCCGATTCATGAGATGATTTTCATGTCAACAACAAGTAGTTAAAAATATTTGAGTGGACGAATAGTGAATTAATTAAAGTTGATGTGATGTGTAAGAATGATTGGTTTGTATTATTTTAACTATATGAATAATATTAAAGATAGTGAGGTTGAGTTAAAGTTTAATTAAATTTTGAGTTGAAATAAAAATGAGCAAATTAATCCATAAACAAGCAAGCCCTTAATTTTTCGTATTCATTTATTTCGGTGCGTTTTTAAAATTTGACCTTTATGTAAACATTTGGAATTTTCGGTACCTAAAATTCTTACAGTAATATTAGGAAGTGATTGGTGCAGTTACAACCATCAAAATTGATTTTGATTGGATATGAGTTAAAAATGAGCTAGTGTTAATAAAGTTGATTTTGATTGGGTATGAGTTAAAATGAGCTAGTGTTAATAATGATATAAAAACATGAGCAAAAAAAGATCTTATGGCTGCTTACCAATCACGCCGTTAAAACATCTCCAATGATCCATGGCTTGCTACTTTTTATTGCCATGTGGCCGAATAAATTCTATGTGGCATTGAAAATATCTTTAAGTCTTTCTAGACATAAAAGTACATCTAAATATCCTCTATTATATTATATTATTTATTAAATATATTTATCATGTCCAACCAATTAATTATAATCTTACACGTGAAATTATTTATACTAGAATTGACGTTAACTGGTGATATAATTTTAAAATGTTTTTTCCTCATGTTGCACATCTCCTAATAAACAAGTGTCCCTATTGATAAACATTTACTTCATTGACATTGATATATGAAGAATAAATTTAAATGCAAGAAAACTTGTGCGAATCCAACTTGATTGACACAATTAAATCTATGCACAAATTTCATGAATTTTTTACCATAA